CCAGTCTCTTTGTGCCACTACCGGCCCTATAGCGCCCCCTGCTGGCTCCCCCACTGCCACCTGCCCCACAGCGTTCCCTGCTGGCTCCCTGCTACCCGCCCCATGGCGCCCCCTGCTGCTCCCCCACCCCCTGCTGACCTGGCGCCGTGGCACGGGGGTCGTAGACCCAGGTCTCCTCGTCGTCGAAGTGGGTGTCCCCGGAGATGGGGTGCTCGCCGGGGAAGAAGGCGTGGGCCAGGGTGCTGCCGGGCCCGTCGAAGGGGTACCCGTCCTGGTGGAAGGCGCGGCTGAACTCCACCAGGATGTCGGCCCCGTCGCCGGAAGGCTCCTGGAAGGTGCCCTGCCTCCTCCCATCTCAGCCTAACCTACTTAGGTCTCCTACATGCTCCTGAAAGCCAGCACACAGGCCACCCATCCCTGCACCAGGAGGCAGGCCCTGCCACTGCCTTGTGGGCACCAAGGGGAGCCGCAATAAGAGAAGACCTTGTGTTTTTGTCTGGCTTGGAACCAGGGACCTTTCGCATGTTAGGCAAATGTGATAACCACTACACAACAAACACACAGCATAACGTCTTCTGATTCCGCACTTAGACGTGGGCAAATATTCGGTTGCTAACCCTTTGGCCAGCAGAGATTGCTGCAGGGCAAATGAATTCTCTGTTGTCAATTTTGTGCCCTCAGGAAGGGACCAAACTGAAGGAGGCCGGGCCCCCACCTGGGGACTCCAACCTAACCCCTGAGGCCAAGGGGTTTACAAGCCAGAGAATCAACGTTTGCTGCATTTTGCCCTCCCACAACCCCAAAGGCAACTCTACAGTCCCAGCAGCTGGTGGAGCTGTGCACGTTACAGCCTCTGCCCACTGAGCTGTAGCCTTCTGTGCCCAGGGAGCCAGACACCACCAGGGTGGGAAGGCAGGAGGGAATCAGCCTCTCCAATCAGCCTTTTCCTGAACTAACAGTCCCACGGGTAGTCAGGGGAGGTCTCTCCTGTGTCCAAGAAGGGCATAAGTAAATGTGAGCAAAGGTTACAATAAGGCACCACTGGGAGTTGAACCCAGGATCTCCTGTTTATGAGGCTGGTGCTTTAGCCAGCTAAGCCATGGTGCCCTCCTCCAAAGTGTTTTTAAAATGGCTCTTTGTGTTTCCAGACAACACTTTTGACTCCCAAAGTGCAGCCATTCCCCACTTCCCTCCAGCCATCGAGCCCAGGCGGTGTCTGACCCCTGGGCCCAGAAAGCTACAGCTCCGTGGGCAGGGGACTTTGGCTTCCTTGCCCATGGGATGCTGTTGCAGGGAGGGCTGCTCAGCAGGGACGGGGTTCACCTGTCGAGGAAGGGAAGAGTATTTGGGTGCAGACTGGCTAACCTAGTGAGGAGGCTTTAAACTAGGTTTGATGGGGGCAGTTGCCCAAAGCCCACAGGTAAGTGAACAACATGGACACCTGGGAGATGGGGCAGAAATGGGAGAGAGCAGGGGCTGTAACAGCAGAGATAAAGGAGGGACGTGGGACCACTGGGAAGCAAAATCTAATCTGTGTCTTAGATGCTCGTATAGACACATGGAAACTATGGGTAATGAGCAGGAAGAAGTTGGTATCACAGGGACTTGGTGGGATAATACACTTTATTGGTATATTAGCTCAGAAGTGTACAGCTTGTTCAGGAAGGATTGGCAGGAAAAAGGGAGGAGGAGTTTCCTTAGATATGAAACGTGCGAACACCTGGCCTGAGGTAGAGATGGACACAGGAGACAGACTTGTCGTCAATCCCTGGGTGATGTTAAAGGGGTAAAACCCCAGGGTGTTGTCACACTCGGTGTCTATTCCAGACACCTCCCCAGGCAGAAGAGGTGCCTGAGGCTTTTTAAACAATTAACAAAATCATCCAAAGCGCAGCTGGTTTCACACACACTCAGCCTCACCCACAGCTGGGAGGCAGTTTGCAGGGAGCTGAAAAGAAACAGAAGAGGGGAAACTGGAGCCTGGCAGAACCAAGTCTTGGGATTCTTTTGTGTCCAGATGTGCTAAGCATCTGGCAGCCAAGCTCCCCAGTGCTGGTCTGTTCCTGCCCTCCCTAGGCAGGCAAATCCCCTCCGCTGGGTGTTACAGGATAGACTTTCCCTGCCTGACTTTTAGCCAGGGAACTGCTCCCTGGGAGGCAAACAGGACACCCCCTGCACTGTGCATGTGAATTTTTTTGCTGTCCTCTTCAAACTTCTGAAGATAAATGCCATATCTAAACAACTAGCCCAGTGTGTATTACATGTATCCAACGCTGGTTATTTAAACACATTCTAAGGCTTTTCTGACAAGACAACAGATGCAAGATTACTGTGCTTGTCAGTTCAGTTCCTTAGACAGAAATAGAGGTGCCTCTCACATGCAAAGCGAGCACTCTACTTCTTGAGCTAATTCCCCTGCCTGTGAGTATCTTTTCCTGACCCACCCACCTTGTTCCAGAGCCCAAAAAGTCCCGTATAATAAACCCTCATATAAAACTCAGCAAATCTCCAGAGAAGTTGCGGTTCCCTTTACAAGACTCTGCACAGCTCAGTTCCAATCAGCCGGTCTTCCCTAGAGCCCGGAACATCGACCGCGGCAGCGTCGCTCTTACGCCCAGTGTAGACACGGCTTTAGAGTGTCACAAACCAGCCCCAGACACATTCCTGGCTAGGACCAGTCACAGTCTAGGCTCATATCAAGCACCACTACTTAGACGCGTGTGTGACACAAAAGCCTCCTGTTCCCTGCCCAGTTCCCAACACTGGCTGCAGACCCAGTGATATTTGGTGCCTTGGCTGCTGTCCCTGCTGGCAGGGAGCTGTCCTGCACCCACAGTTTATCAGCCTCCCGGAGAGGCAGCAGCTCTGTGAGGGGGAGAAGCCGGGGAATTTCCCTGCTGTGTATAAAAC